TTCATAAAAAAGATGTTTAGTTGTTTCCAATTGAGTTGTACAAAAGCCACAATTCTCAACATTAAACTTAAATCTCTCTCTTAAAAACTCATTTGAAGGATATATGTTATTTATTATTTTAAATTGTAATTCTTTATATTTAGGAGGAATTGGGAATTTCAAATAATTTGTCCTAATTTTGACTATCATAGATTTCTTAAAATTTTGTTAGAGAGCTGTGCTTTTTGTTCTTCCTGGGTACATATTATTTATAGAATATTGATTCAAAAACTTGTTGTTGCATTTATTATCTCTAATGTCCACCTGCTCAAATTCAATCTTATGGAGACAAACAATTGCAATTGCAAACAATTTATAGGTGCATTACCGCCACCTTCCAGAATGGAGCGACGCGAGCTCTTCTCGCGAGTCCTTCCGTATAACAATGACGTTGTATGTGATTGGAGGAGCCTGATGAGCCTTCGGCCCCATCGTCCAATCACGTGTGAGCTTTTGTGCACTACGACTTCTCGCGAGACCAGCATATTAGCAGACATGTTTGTGTTACTACACTTAGAAGAACTTCATCTCCATTTACCGTGTTTGTATTTTGTTGTTACGTGAACAATGGCTGCACGACGTCTCGCGTTCAACTCGCCTCCAACTGCTCTTAGTCCACAACTTTCGGCCAGCCCGCAGACTGACGAGAAGAAACTGCTGATTGCTATCAGCGGACTGTCTCGTCAGCTTGCCCAACATACTGCCGACATGAATGAACGCCTCACTCAGCTGGAGAATTCGATGCGCTCCAGGTTGTAGTCCATAGAGGACAAGATGGCGGCTCTGCAGTCGAGCAACTTTGCAGGATATACGAACTCGAGGAAGAGAAGACGGGTGAACAACGCCACGCTAGCGGTAAATATATGTTCGATTACTGGTAGCTATGCTAAAAGCAGCCTAGCTTAGCTAGGCAAGCTAAAGACAACCTGGCCTAGCTAGGTAAGCTAAAAGCAGCCTAGCCTAAAGCTTTATTAAAGTGTATTTTTTGTGATTCACAGGAAGCAATATGCCGTCTTAACAACTCGGAAACTAATTGCAGGCGCTATGAACCGGAGCAGGGGTAAGGTTTAAAGAATATGCGGTAAAAGGACATGGATACGGATGGATACCGACCATAGCTGTACTTTTTTTTTTTTTTCACAGACTACAGTCGCCTCACAATGAGGCGGTGACCTCCTATTTGCTCAGATTTGCACGATGTTGATAAAGACGACATTGTGTGTAAGTGACTTGTTTTAATGTTTTCTCCTTCCTTGTTACTGTGACTTGCGTTTGATTTTTTTTTTTTATTCATACCACTCTCATTTAATTGTTTTCCAGCTGCCTGTAAGACGTATTATGAGACGGTATGCAGGAGCTTCAGATACACGCTGCTAGCCAGCACGCTGCGTGCGGAGGCCGCCAGGCTATCTGCTCGGAGTCGGGCCAGAAGAAAGAGAGTAAGACTTTATTTGGTGACTATTTTTCAGGTGCATTGATAGATGTGTTGTGTCCATATGCAGTGCGCTGATTCATTGTTTTTTTTTCAGCTGCTGAAGGCGAGGCAGAGTGTGCTATCAGATGAGGAAGTGGAACTCTGTAAGTCCGCCACCGTCGACCTCATGTCCGACGAAGAAGATGGCGTCGTCGGCGGTGTCTCTGGATGGATTGTACGGTCGCCGCCATTTCGTAGGCCGGATCTCACTGAACTCTGTGTTAAGCTGCAGTCCCGGTTAGAAGCGATGCCGAAGTACAGGGCCACGCACAGTAGGCGTCTGCACATCGGACCTGCCTCGGAGGGAATGCTGCCTGTTACCTCCAACCCCGAGGAAGCAAACGGACCGTTCATGGAGTTGTAATTTTTAGATACGCATGTGTTTGGATACGCGTTGTATATAGTTGGGTGTGTTTTAATAAAGCTCTTTCTTTGCATAAACAGCTTCCTGGCAAATCTTCATTTCCTGTATAAATTCATTCATGTCCTTGATGGTAGCATAATAATTGTGTAGTAGTGTAGGATAACATAAATACACAGCATATGAATGAATAAATATATGAATGAATAAATATATGAATATATATATATATATATGAATGAATAAATATATATATGAATAAATATATATGTAAATATATATATATATGCCAACCAATCACGAGCGACTTTACTTGTTTAAAAGGAAGCGGTTCCGTCCAATACTCACTAAGAAAATTAAAGCCTGGCGTGGCCACGTGTGGTTTTGCTGCCAATCACGAGCGATTTCACTTGTTTGAGAATAGTGGTTTCAGCCAATACTGAGAAGGTTATTCAAGCCAGACCTGGCCAGCCGCGCGGGTTTGCTGCATTCATATGCTAATTAGGGCCATTAGTACAGCTGATCGCTCTCCACATACGTCAGAGTCCGTTTCCGACAATTTGTGGCACGTCAAACGCGGACAAGCACGGGTTGCAAATTGTCGGAAACTGACGAAAATCAGGCAGATCTGCGGGAGTTTACGGGGACGAAAATCTCACTTTTCATGCAGTGAATGCAGTTATCGCCATCTGCTGTCTATGGCTGGAAAGGCCTGTGGATGACAGAGGAGAAGCTAAATGCCACACCTCTTTTAGATAGCTGGGAGCCTTTTCCTCTCACTGAATGCTAATTAACTGAACATTGAGCTCAATGCACCTCTCTCTTCATTTAGGAAAAAAAATGTCTATGTTGTTATTTTAATTACTGCACATGTGTGCTTACTTTATTTTTCAATCATGATATAACATTCACGTTAAAGCAGAGTTTAAGCATGAGTTGGAGCGCACAGAAAACATTTAAAAGTAGAATTGTTTTTCAACATATGATCAAATAACAGGCATTGCAGCTTGATATGTCTCGGTGTGTCTTTTTTCTCTCCTTTTGCTTGGTTCTTATTTTTGCCTTATGGAACATTTGAAAGCCATGATACACATCACTCACTATGGCATCATTGTAAGGACCCTTTATACGAAAGTGAGGACACTTGCTTTATTGTTAAAGTTGTTTTGTTGTCAGTGAAAGAGAAAATCAATGGAGGTCAATGTTAGTCAGCCCTTGGTCCTCATATAGCAACATATATATATATATATATATATATATATATATATATATATATATATATATATATATATATATATTGCTTGAGTCATGATTTTTTACTTAACTTTGGAGCACTTGCCTGTTGGTGTTGTACATGTGAAAATATACAGATACATTTGGTCATTTGTCTATCTATCTATCTATCTATCTATCTATCTATCTATCTTCTTTTTTATCTATCCATCTATCTGATTTTTTTCTGTTCTGTGATGGAATGTATTTCCATTTTTAGTCCTTTAGGTTTAAACTTTCAAATGAAACTCATATATAAACAGTTTAGTTAAAAAATCAATAAAACTGCAACTTAAAGATTAAATTTCAAATATAAATCTAAATATTATCTATCATGGGGGAGGCAATATAGTTTTATACAAAGACAATATATGAGTTCTACCTTATATTTATATTTAGAACGTCATTTCCAGGAGCCTTTAGCTTTATGAATACCAATGCATCCTCTCTCAAACTATTTCTATTATATTGTTCTTAAATTTTTTTTTCCTAATTTTTCACAAATTCTCTTGTCATTTCTTTAATTTTTGCCTCAATAGTTGCGTAGCCGATTCATTTTATTGTTAAGTTATACTGATAGAAATAATATAAGACCGAGAATTAATTATTTTTAATTTTATTAAAAAAAGAAAGAAAAAAAGGTTGTTGAGGCTCGCTTTCTCAACAGAGGTATTGCATGTTTTAAATCTTCATGCGGGTCATTTCAATTTATCAAGGGGGGGGGGGGGAGTACATAAAAAAACATAAGATCTTTTAATCGGTCGGGATTAAGCAAGCCTTACACCGATAACGACATTTTTTTTTATTGTTTTAGTCACGATACAGCAAGTACGGTCATTTTCACAAGAGTAGAGTATACAGGGGCTATGAAAAAAATGTATCTGGACTTCATCAGAATGAACAAACAAAAGGCAGTAAATCTACAACATTTAAAAACACTTTAGCCACGTCTATCATCAGTTTAGCTGCGATTACTCTTTAAAATCCATCAGTAGTCATCAGCTTTAATTAAATACATATTTACTGGGGTTTCTTTTCTTCACCGGCACGGACTATTATCATGCCAGTAAATGCTACACAAAACCATGTCATGTACAAATTCCTAAATATCTTTAGTTACTAACAGTTGAGGCTACTCAACAAAGGACACCCCTCATTTTAAAATTTCTACTGACTGCTTTAATATTAAGTTCGTTTTCTTTTTTATACAGTCACTATCACAAATGTCCAGCTGTATGTACAGTATAAACATAAATACAATGATTCTGACTCAACAGTTTGTATAGATAGATAGATAGATAGATAGATAGATAGATAGATAGATAGATAGATAGATAGATAGATAGATAGATAGATAGATAGATAGATAGATAGATAGATAGATAGATAGATAGATAGATAGATAGATGCACTGTAAAAACAATCTAGAAATAAGTTTAAAAAAATGTAAATTAGGTGAATTTGTCCTTAATTTCGATAGGTACGGCAAAGAAGATGATCTGCCAATGGAACAAGATAGTTTACTATTAAAATAAGATAATTAGATAATACGCTCTTGAAATAAGACACAGCAATTATTTTGTGCTTATTTTAAATGTAAATTGTCTTGTTCCACTGGCAAAATGCCTCACTTACCCTCTCAGTTCAAGAAAAAAAGCACTTATTTTAAGAAAAAATTACTCATTTACATTTAGTTTTTTGCAGTGCAGATAGATGATAGATAGATAGATAGATAGATAGATAGATAGATAGATAGATAGATAGATAGATAGATAGATAGATAGATAGATAGATAGATAGATAGATAGATAGATAGATAGATAGATAGATAGATAGATAGATCTATTCTCTAACTGTGAGGATAAAAACTGTAGTAACCAATGTCCTTTGTACAGTTCTTCTCGCACTCTCTTGGTGCCAGCAGCTCGGATTTTAATGGGGACACTGTCTCTGAGACCGGGGTGGCAGAGGGTGAGATCCGTCTCCTCTTGGTCTGCTCAAAGATCCCAGAATCGCTCGAGTCGATTGATTTAATCGACGACGGCGTCTCTATCCAGCTGGACTCTGAGGTGATGTCTTTGGGTTTGGTCTCTTCCGAGCCACCGATGGGCGACCTTTCCGTGGCGATGGAGTCTCCCTCCTCCGACAGGTAGTTGGTGCCCGCTCTGCCTCCGAGGGAGTTGGTGGGCCAGCAGGAAAAGACCGAGCTGGGTTTGCTGTTTACGCCGCAGTACTGCGGCGGCGTGCGTCCTCCCCAGCCAGACGGGTCTGCGTAGTAGCCAAGGGGCCGGTTGGAGCAGCCCGCTGTCGGAAGGGGGAGAGCCTTTACTCCGGCCGCTGCGTAGGACAGCAAGGTGGCCGCGTTACCGGCGAAATCGGCCGCGTCGTATGCCGAGGCGGCAAAGTCCAGTCGGTTGTTGGCAGGGGTGACAAACCAACGCTGCGGGGGGGTGGCAACAGTGGGCTCTTCGCTTTGCTGCGGGGACAGCAAGCTGTTGCCGAGTGGGACGCTGCGCTCCGTGCCAGGACCAGTCCCCACGCCAGGGTGAAAGCGAGATTTGGCATAAGTGCTGACAAATTGGTCCTGCAGGAAAGAGCTGGGCATGGCGTATCTCGCACCCGGCACGATCTGTGAGCGCGGAGAGTCACCCGGTGATGGAGTTAGGCGGTCAATGTCGCAGCCTGTGTATACACTGAAGAAGATGGAGAGAAAAACAGAAACAATTCAGAGCTAAATGGTGCGTAGGCTACTTGCTGAAAAAAAAAACAACAACAAAAAAAACGAAAAAGGACTTGAGTTAAACCGGTTAGATTTGAAAAGGAAAAGGTTTAAGTCTAATTGTGTCCAACTGACGTCAAGTTTCTCTTTTATTGTAAAGAAAAAACTGAAAAACATGTTTTTAAACACCGCATCATCGAGAAGAAATTAACGTGTTTTCAATATATTTAACAAGATTTCTATTTCAGATTTTATTCCACTTAAAACATCAGAAAATACATTTTCAGACAGGATTAGTTTTTCGTTGAAAGAAAATTGGATCACAAAAAATATCCACAAAATCTAAATAAAATTTCCTTACACGTATCTGTTATTGTTTTAAATTAAATACAAATGTTAATAGAATAACTAGAATTGTGTTTTCAACATAAAAAAATCTTACTTCAACTCAATGAAGATATATTTTTTATTTTAAACGAGTAAAAAAAAAAAAAACAAGAATATGAATAGCAATACAAAAAAAAAAGAATAAACTTACGTGTCATAATTGTCCCGAAATCCTTTGGCGAACGGGTTGTGGTCGATTTTCAGTTGCGTAATCTGCATGAAAAAATATATATATGTATATACATTAATTCCGAAGAAATAAGAGTAAAATTAATAATAAAAAATGGAAAAATATTTAAATAAAAAAATAAATGTAAGCATTTCAAGAGGTCGTGATGAAGCGCAAATTTCACAGATAGATTAGATAATAAAAGTAATTAAGTGCAATTTTTTTCTTATTATTTTTCGTTTAAAGTTGTTCTCTTTTTTCCTTTTGAAAGAAAGACAGCAACCAAATAAGATGCGCCACAGTTAAATTTATATCTCGCCTCAAACAAGAAGCCTTACGTCTGTATTTTGGTAGGCGGTGACGGCGATGAACTGCGTCTCCGTGAAGGTGAAAGTCTGAACTCTGCCCGGTTGGCTGGTGTCCTCTGTCCCATCTTCGTTCACTTCCACCACATGGAGCCTGGGCTGGTACTTATGGAGGGACTGGAGCACCACCATCTAGAGGTTTCAACCGGGAAAAAAATACAAAAACACACTTTCAGAGCAGCACTGCTGTGTTCCAAATCATTAAAAATAAACCAAGTAAACGAAAATAAAAAAAATTACGGCATTGAAAAAATAAATAAATAAGCTTATTGTTTTACCTGGCCTGTGTTGTTGGAGGCACCTTTGTTGTTGGTGAGTTTGAGTTTTCCAAAGGATATTTCCTGACGCATCCAGTGCGCACCGGTGTTTGGTGAGTCCGGGTGCATGTAAACTCTATTCCCTTCAAAATTGTGCAAACGAATAAATTAAAAAAAAAGATAAATAACACGCCTAATGTTATTTAAAAGAGCAAAAACAGAAATAAATAGTAGACAATACGTAAAAATTATAGAAAAAAATTAGTCTTTCATCTAATAATGTTTTTAGTTGTGATAATAATAATACAATAATAATAACAATGTGACTACCTATGACATTTGTGTCCGCTTTCCCACACGGCACCCACTTTCCTCCTTGGAATCGCCAGTGATTCGGATCGGCGAGTATTACATCCACAAATATATTGTAGTGAGCGGTTGGGTCTAGACCAGAAATGTTGAAGCTTAAAAATGGAAACATTCGCCTGCAGAAAAAAAAAAAGAAATATAAGATAAAAAAAATATATACATTTGGTATGATATGTTTTTATATAAAAAAGAGGTTAATTAAATATCATTTTTAATGTATTTAATTCAAATGAATAAATATTCAAATTTCTGTTTTTATTTTCTTTGCTTGTTTTTCTTTCGTTTATTTTTTTAATTGCACAGAAATTATTTAGATTAATTTTTGCTGAAACAATTGAGCAACCAATCAATTGCCAACTCACCGTCCCTGTTTAGTGATGATCATCTCCGTTTGGTGCCTGTGAAACTTCAGCCACAGGGCCCTGTTGCACAAGTACACCTGCGCCTTCCCCGGTACCAGTCCCGCCTGCGCAGAGGAGAACTGGTAAAAAGCTCCCCCTTGATACGTGTGTCCATACTGCTGGGCGTAAGAGTAACCTGCCGTTGGGTAGCCTTGCGGAGAGGTGTTGGTTAAAAGGCTGTTGTACGCTCCGTTAGTTATGACCGGATGATGGGCCATGTAGCGGCTCGGACTCCCGATGGAGAAAGCCGGGTGCGCCGGTCCATGCTGACTCGGATATGGAAACATGGCAGTGGGAGCTGCGGAGACTGACGGCTGGGCGGACGGAGAAAAGATGCACCTTTCTCCTGCAGATCCATCGAAATTATGACGGATGTCAGAGACTCCGTGGAGATCAGGAGAGAGTTTGCCCCTCTGGACGTCCCCCGACGCGTCCTTGGAGTCGGGGAAATTGTCTGCCTCTGACTGATTCGTCATCTCCCTGGAGTTTTTTTTCAGAGGTGAACTTCTCTCCAGGTTGTCACTCGCAGATATAATAGGATGGTCCTGCAACGATAGCTCCTCTGATCCATTGGAGCTCGCAAAGCCACTGCCCACATTCATAAATTTCTTTGAGATTTCACTCGTCAGCGAGATGCAATTCTCCACTTGCATGGCTCTATTAGCTCATCCTATATCACAGACTTTTTGCACACGCCTCTCCTAATCTAACACGACTTGGAATAAGGAAGGCGGCAAATTAGCCAATTGACACCATCCTGCAATCAGGATGGATTTTCTCTCTATCACTCTGCGCGCTTTCCTAATGAAACAACCACTGCTATTGCTTAACTGGGGGCAGTAATTTAATTAGACAGCTCTTAATTAGGATCTCTGTGAGGAAAAGTGTGTCACGTGCCTATATGTGAGTAAACATATAAGGGCTGACTGTTTCTCTTTATAAGAAAGACATATATAAGAAGGATGATCATTATTAAAGCTGCTTTTATCCATCTCTCTGTTGCGTTATTTACCTATTCATGCACCATGAGTGCCAAAGTGTGTCCCCTGAAGCAAACCAGGATGTATTATTTACATGCCAAAAAATGACAGTCCATGACAGGCAACCTTAAAATGTTTGTGATCTGGCGTGAAATCACTGCGTCCAACCAAAGATGTGTTTATGAGTCCCAGCGCTGGTAAATATTTTATGCGCACTGAAAGTTAGGAAGCTGGGCGCTGATAAGAGGGAAGAGCAGGCAGCAGCCCATGGGGGAGGTGAAAAAAACCAAATATGTTCTCCATTAAGAGTCATTGTGCAACAATTTAGTTAATTTGGCCGCTGCTTTTTTTAAAGAGGTAATTGGAAGAATGGTAATTAGAGGAAAAACACGTTTTTCATGAAATATATTTCAAATAACGAGTGAAATTATATGTTCTTAAGATATGTAATTAAAAGCTAAATCGTTTAATCTGACAATCTGGAGAGAAAATAATTAGTTTTCCTCTGCAGATTAGAATTAAATGAGTCGTTTTGATTGAGAGGATGGAACAAGTTAGAGGAAACAGCTGCAGCTCTACCTGCATGTTTATTTTTGATAAGTAAACTCATAATGCCGCGTGGTTTGATAGTAAATTCTATTATTTATTTTTTTCTAGAAGTGAACATTTTAACTACTTGTCTTCTTATTTTTACACACGTCTGTTTAAGATGTTTTTCTTTTATAAGCAATATGTACAAAGCCACCCAGAGGCACAAGAGAAATGTATTGCAGCAAAGGGCCCTTGGTTGGCAACTTTTTAAAATATGTAATTCAGTTTCTTTCTTAATAGATTGATGTTTTGCAAACAATGTTTTTTTTTAAGAAGTTTCCATTTAAAATGTAGTTTCAAGCAACTGTTAGGTGTTTAAAGTTGTTCATTAGTTATTTATATAATGTGCAAAATTGAAAAAAGGTTTAAACTCCCTTTTATTTAATTTCGTTATAAGACATTGTTCCAAACCATTGCAAAAGATTTTTATTGGGGTTTATTGTATTCTTATTGTATTGTCTTTTTTATGCATTTTTAGATCACAGAGTTTTGGAGACATTTTATTCAGATGTGCTGCTGTTAGACAAATAAATGCACTTTAGGGTCCATATTTGGCCTCTGTCCCAAAGTGCATTTGAAATGACATATAGTTGATCAAACCAAATTGTAAATGTTCAAAACAGTGGCGCCAATAAAAAGAGGTAATTTTGTCCCCTTAGCAACTCAGCACTGTCCCTTTCCAAACACTCTTATATACTATTGTAATTGTAAGGATTTAAGAGGATGTGATTTTATTAGTACCAAACAAGAATTTAAAATTTAATACGATTGCCCTCTTTCATGATTAGTGATATTTCAAATGTTTTTTGGGGAAGATTATTCAAACATGATAACTTTATACAATTTCAAAGTTATTGTATTGGTAGATATCATTGAGAGGTTTGGATGTGACATGTTGTTTGTGACATGTAGACTAGGCTACATGTTACAAACATTGCCAATAACCCAGATGTCATGCCTAACATCTGTTAAATTTAATGTGCTTATCTCAATACCTCTTAATTCGTTTTTGACATATTTCTATAGGAACTTCACATTGTGACATACAGTTCTGAAGTGGTTACTGCTATCGAATCATTATTTTCTTGTTGTAGTTTTTTGAATAAATTAATGTAATTCTAGAAATGATAGTGTGTCTATTAGCAGGTGTTTAGAAAGCCCCAATACTAAATGATGGTTCAGAAAACGATATTTATGTGTACATGGTTTACAAATGCTGAAGCTGACAAAATATAACTGAAAAAATTTTTAGGTTGGACTGCAATGCCAGCTCTGCTCCTTTGTGTTTGTCTCCTTGTGTTGTTATGCATTTTTTGTTCCTCATGTTTTTGCATCTCTTTATCAATGCTGCAGTTTTTATACATGCTATAGAAATAAAAGCAAGGACATCCATTTTTAGCCCCATTTGCATCGGCCTCCTTGTCCTGCTGCAAACTCTCTCCAGTGCGTTTTCATTGTCCTTTCAGGCTGTGTTCCCCATCTCCTGTCCTAGTTAGTGTTTGTCCCTCCACCCTGTGTGCAGCTTGTCCATACCCTATTTGTAATTTTGTCCTCCAGGATGTGTGCACCCTATCCTGTTCCAAGTCTATGTTTGTCCCATCACTCTGTTACTATTCCCACTCCAACAGTTCTTGTCCTCTTGTGCTATTTGCACCCTTTGATGCTCCATTTGAATCTGTCTGCCACACCGATTACAGCTTCTTTCTTCTCTGTTTGCATCCGTCTTCCCGTTCCTGCATGCAACCTCTCACCAGCTGTTCTAAGTTTGTCCTCCTATGCTGTGTGCACATTCTCTCCACTCCAGTTGCCTTTGCCCACTGACATTGTGGGGACCTTCTGTTCCCTTCTTTTGTGATTCTACACTATCTGAACTCCATTAAGTTTTCATATGCAATTGCCACCTCAACATTCTGTTAACCCTATCTCCTCTCCATCTGCATTGGCCCCCAATGCTGTGTGCATCTTCTCTCCCAGCTCAATTTTTGATTGTCCCTCAACACTTCATGCACCTTCTCTCAACTCAACTAATCCTTGTTCCTCAAAACTTTCTGCACATTTTCCCCATACTGTTTTTGTTTTCCTTCCAGCCTATGTGCGCTTTCTCCCGCTTCAGTTCCACTTGTCCTTGTTCATTCTGTGTACATGTTTTAGACCCATTTGCATCTGTCTCCCCATGCTGTGTGTACCATTTTCTCAGTCCCTTGTTGGTTGTCCAACTACATAATGTAAACCCTTTTTCTTCTCTATTTTATTATTCTCTATTACGTACATATGTATACATGTCCTGTCCTTCATCCAATTTGCTTTTGTGATTGCCCTGCATAAAAATATTTTGGATCTTAATGTCAGTAAAACTCTACACAAAAAACTGATAAGAGTTTACTTAAGTTCTTTAACAGGAGAAAAAAAATATATTTTAAGAGCTGTAGTTTGATCTCTCAAGCTAATATTGGCTCTATATCTACTACCTAATTAGCACAGGCTGAGGTAATTATGTTCAAGCTTCAATATTTGGGACCAAAGAAAGGGTCCTGAGACCTAAGAGGAAAACCTTCATATACTGTATTGCTTCATATTTGATAATATAGATCTTATACCACATTCGATTTATGTTTTTTTTTAGATAGGAGTATTTTAATGGTTTAAGGCGATTTTGTTAAACCTGAAAATGACTAATCACTCAAATTTCTAATTAATTGAAATATATTTTTAAGGCTGTAATACAGCCCTGTTGTATCCAGGTAACCCCAAACTGAATTGATATATATCTGATTGAATGGAGAGGTTTTGGGGATGCAGAGGAGTTTAGTGTGGAAAAAAAGACTCAATGTACAACTTTTATTAAAACTTCCACATTGCATTATTAGCCTATCAAAGTGCACAAGATATTTTAAACCAACTATGTACTATTTTACCGGTGGATCTAACCACCATGTTATATCTTTAATGAACAGCCATGAGTCTCTGATGCTAACAAGAGGGGTCATTACAGAAGGGCTACTGGGTCCAGCAATCTATTTCTGAGAAACATGCAAGCACAGGCTTGTCTGTGTCTAAGGAAAAGAGGCCACTCTCTATTCTGCTCATTACAGGATTATGGTTCACTTCCATGGCTGATCCTTAATAAGCAAAGTGGGGTTGTTTTTTTAGTTGTTTTTTTCCTCTCTGTCTCCCACTGAAGAAACCAGTTGTTGAATCAACCATGCAGCAACTTGGTATGTCTCCCCAGGTGCTGGTGCCCTGTTTATCAGACTAAGTCATCCCTTTATTTTCTCAGCTAGGACCAGTGGACATAATCAGTGAGGAGGGGGCTCATTTGTTATGCTTGTGGCCAGCTTTGTCCCTCGGGGAGCTATAAAGCGGTGCAGGTTAGGATGGCTGCCTCCTGTCTTTGCAAAAAGCCTTGTTTGACCAGCTGAGCATGATGCAGTGACTCACCATGAACAGCATCTATAGCTATTTATATATATAAAAAAAAAAAAAAAAGATCTAAATGCTAATATGTGCATGCATGCATATATTTACATGTTAACATGTAGGCCCATAATATACAGTGCTATGAAAAAAGAATTTTCACCATATATTTGTTCTGATTTTGCTTTTCTTGTTGCAATTATACATTTCAAATTATCAAAATAATTTTCATGTCAGACAGAGATAGCTTACAATTAAAAGAAACTATGATAAAAAAAAATATTTGATCAAATAATGAATAGATTAAGTAGCGAAAAGGCTTTACAGACCAACCTGTTTATCTTAACAAGGAATTTCCAACCCTAAGCAGCCACTGGCAGTGTAATGTATCCTATTGGCCCCAGGAGCCACTGAAGCCTCTAGGAACAGTTATTTTTGTCTAAACAATCACTTTTTCAACATCACTTATAGTTAGCAATTTTCAAACAGGACTTAAACTTTAACATGATTTAATTTAAGTTTAACTGAGTAAAATAAATTGTTAAAGTGCTTGTCTCATGTCAACTTTGGTTTCATAAGAATGGAGATGAGCCAAGAAAAGCATTACCTGATTGTTCTTATACCTTAATGAACTATGTGGCACCATGTGGGTGTCTATCAGATATGATGTGTCGTCATTTGATACATTCATCACATCACCATCCCAGGTTTATGTTCCCTGCTGCACCTTTTTGCCACAGGATCATTGACATGTGTCCCCCTATTCAGCCTGGCCCTTTAAAAGAATAACTTCATTGTTTA